CTCAGCATGGCCGGAGAAGCAGTGCGTCGGTGCAAACCCAGGATCCGAACCCAGGCCGCCAGCAGTGGAGCGCACGCACTTAACCACTAAGCCATGAGGCCGGCCCCATTAAGGCTTCATTTAACTGTAATTACCTCTTTAGAGGTTCGTCTCCAAATATAGTCACATTGGGCGTTGGGGCTTCATGTGAATTTGGGGGGGACAGTCCATAGCACCACCTTAACATCCTAGAACAGGGCAGATCTTGGCATGCGACACCTTGGTGACTCCCCATGCTTAGTGGATAAAACCCAGATTCTGCCTAGCATCCGAGAGCCCCGAGCCCACCGTCCAGCCTCCTGCCACCCCCACATCCTCTGTCCCTCAGCACACGGCAGTTTCCCGTCAGCCCCTGCGGTTTCTCCCATTCCGGTGTCTGGGCCAGGCCCTTCTCCCTGAAATCCCAGTCACCCCTCATGGGGAGGCCTTTCCTGGCCTGGAGCGGGGAGGAGGGCTCCGGCTGCTTGCTGGGCTCTGGGCACAGCCACCCTTCGTCTGTCCCTCCCGTAGCGTCTCGGCTGTTTGCACGGATAGGCACTCCATCCTGTCATCCGAGCAGATGGGAGGGGGTGACCGCTGGTGAGGTCAAGGCCGTCATGCCGTCCCACATAGAACTAAAGCTGACGTCGACCGTGACCCTGTAGCCTCATAGCCACCCATCTGCTCACAGCTGTGACGGTGGCACGCGGACACCTGAGATCTCCCCCCATAGAGTCATGTCAGGGAGAACAGCCTGGATGCCCAGCCGTCTGCTGATAGACTCTCTTGTTCTTCCCTTCAGTCTAACTCGGTGGTCTTCAACTTCAGTGTGATAAGCATTGCCTTTCAAGGTATATACAACAAAACTTGTCCTAATTTTAGTTTACACTCACAAACGTGCTATCTCGAGGCTGATCCTGAGTCAGAGGGCAGCCCGCAGTGTCCTGGTGACCCTTCCAGGTTAGGGTCTGGACCAGGCGTAGACCAGCCCGTGACGCTGCCCACCTGCGGCTTGGGCCTCAAAGCTGATGCCCTGGGATGGAGCTTGTCCTAGACCAGTGGTTCTCAACCGGACAGTGTCTGGGGACATCTGTGGTCGTCACACTGGGGGTGCTCCTGGCATCAGGTGGATGGGAGCCAGGGATGCTGCTCAACACCCTACGGTGCCCAGGACGGCCCCACAGAGAGTGACCCAGCCCCGACATCAGCAGTGCCTGGGTCAAGAAACCCTGCCCTATAGCGAAGAGGCTGCGTGACCTCCTGGTGTGGCTGCGTGACCTCCTGGTGTGGAACAAGGTCAATGGCCGGCTGCTTCCGCTGCTTCCCTGAGGTGGCCCACCAGGTGGAGACAGTGCTTTTGGCCTGAGTGGGGTCACCATGGGAGCGGGCGAAGAAAGCCCTGAAGGTTGTGTCTGCTTCCTTGGGGCCCTCGGCTGAAGGACGAGACTCACCCTTCCGCCCCGGGAGACACTTGCCTCTGTGTCCTCAGTTGGCACCGCTTCGTGGGCCGTGGCTTCAGAATTGGGAGAGGAGAGCCTGCTGGAGTGGGAGGCCACAGCATGGAAGGAAGAAGGGAACCCCCCAGGGCTGCTCAGCGCCACTGTGCAGAAGCAGTGCCGACGGCTTTGTAGGCAGCAGAGGCGGCAGGTCCCAGTCCACAGAGCTCCAGGTCTGTGCTCGCATGTGCACTAGAGTGCCTGTCCTTGCAGCCCGGGCAGAGCAGACCCCCTTGCTGGGCCTTCCTCCTGCCTTCAAAGACATGCCTTCTGTTGTTCTCCCAGTGTCTGTCCCTTCCGTTTTCCTTGCAGTTTGGGTTGGGTCCACGCCTCTCCCGTGTGACTCAGGAGAGGGTGGCGCCAGCTCCAGGGTGCATCCTGGTGGGTCTAAGGCAGCCAGCGTGGCCCCATCCCCCTCGACTGTGCCGCTTTGGGCCGGGGGTGGAGTGGGACCCAGGCTGGATGAGAAACCCCAAGTGGAGGCTGGCACGGGAAGGCACACATAGGACGTACATAGAACGTACCTTACAGCATCGCTTTATCAACAGAAAATTGGAAATAATGTGTGGTGGTTGAAAGATAGGCCCACGAGTTCTTTGATACTCCTCCCTTCAAAAGGTGGGGCCTAGTCCTCTGCCCGCGAGTGTGAGTTCGATTTAGTGATTCGCTTCTGGCTAACGGAATGTGGCAGGCGTTATGTGATGTATGAGGCTGGGTCATGACCAGGACAGCTTCCACCCCGTGCTTCTTCTCTCTGTCTCTCTGTCTCTCTTGCTGTGTTGTAAGAACACGCAGGCAGCACTGGCAGAGGCCCACGCAGGGGGAAACTGAGGCCTCCCCCCAGCAATCAGCACCAACTTGCCAACCGCGTGAGGGAACGTCCCGGAAGCAGATCCCTGCCCCCCGAGTCAAGCCTTCGGATGATGCCGCCCCCGCCGACTTCTTGTTGGCAACCTCCTAAAGACCCTAAGCCAGAGCCCAGCCAAGCTGCCCCCCAATTCTTGACCCGTAGAAACTGTGAAGGTGATGAATATTTATTATTGTTTGGAGCCGCATCATTGGGGGTAATTTTAAGCTCAGCAATAGAGAACTAATACCTAATATAAATGTCTGCCAGTAGGGAAATCAGCGAATGAATTATGATATATTCAAATGAGTAAGTGGCCTTTAAGTGTGGGAGGCCCGGGGCGGAAGTACAGGGGCAGCCTGCACACCACGTGTCTGATATCTTAGCGTTACCAGCCCAGCTGGGAAAGGTAGGCACAGTCTGTTCTGTCCCGCCTCCCTTGACAAATACACGTTTCTAATGGAAAGAAGCAGGGGCGATGGTAGGGTTTTATGGTTCTCAAAGCATCAAAGATGACTGAACGTTATTATTGTGCGTATCTGGGCGTTCTCCTGGTGATATCTGGAGTTCTTCAATGAAAAACACACATGCTGTAAGATTTATCATAGGTGCCTTCATTTCAGCACGAATAATGTTTGTGTGATCAAGATTTTCACGTCGTTTGAGTTTTGTGACCGTAATGCCGTGAAGTGGCTGTCGTGGGCTGACTGTGGGCCCCTGAAATTCCCGTGTTGGAGTCCTGGCCCCCAGTGCCTCAGAATGGGGCTGTATCTGGAGATGGGGTCTTCAAAGAGGGGGTTAAGTCAAAAGGAGGTCGTACGGGTGGGCCGTGTGTAGATCGGAGCCCCAGGGGCCGCTCCCACCTTCCTTTCTCACGGTGTGCCCACGGCGCCCCCGTGAGCCCGTGCTTCCGCATCCGTACATGTTTGCTGAGCGCCTGCTCCGTGCCAGACGCCACTGTGGTGCCAGGAGGAGCTGGGCACCCGCTGCAGCTCGGCACGCCTGGGGCTGCGTGCTGGTGGAGGAGACGCGGGGCTGACGGGGAAGAGCGTCAGGCGGTGCTAGGGAGAAATCAAGCAGGGCGAGGGGACAGGGTGATGGGTTAGGGGTGCCGCTGCTCTCCTGGACGGGCTCAGGGAGGGCTTCTCGGAGGAGGTGGCATTTGCAGTGACCTGCAGGAGGCGAGGAAGCAAGCGAGCATGTGCGGGAGGGACAGACAGGTGCAGGAGGGGATGGGGTGGGAGGGCGACAGGGTCAGGTTCATGCTTTGAGAGGACCCTTCCGGCTGCCAGGAGGACGAAGAGAGGCCAGTGAGGAGACGGGCGTAGTACCCGCAGGGGTGATGCGGCCGAGGCTTCTCCACCCCCAGCTCCTGGGAGGAACTTTCCGTGCTTCCTTCCCTCTGCTTGGCGGGTCCCTCAGCGCTCTCTCCCCACTGGGCAGGAAGCCACCTAGGGGGCAGGAACACGTGTGTGAAGGTTCCGGATGGACGAGAGCTGCCGGTTCTAGTTCCTCTGTACTCAGGTCAGCCTGCCCCAAACGCACACGCTGTAATCTCTGATGGGCTGTAATCTTGGGTGATACCCTGCCTGACACACGGGCTTGTAAATTCCAGGACGATTTCCGGGGGCTGATATGTAGCAGAGGGCAGGGCGCTGGGGTCAGAAAGATCTGGATGTTAATGCAGCAGTTGACGTACATCACCGGTGCTCAGAGCTTCCTCGTGCAGACGGTGCGGGCGGATGGGCCGACAGCGCTGGCGCCTTCTCCACGAGTGAGGCAGTGGAGACAGAGGCCTCGGCGCTGTCTTCCCACAGGGCAAGCCGTCAGTGAGCGCTGCTTCTCCTTAGTCATGAGGCTTTAGCTTGGTGTTAACGGACCTTCCTCATTTTAATCATCGCTTGGATCCGCTTGTTCTTTGGTTAAAAAATACCGTTCAAGTCCAGCTTTCTTTGGCTTTCATCTAGAGGGGCGACATTGAAATCTCGATGTCGTCCCCGTAGATGAGCCGAGAGCTCGTCTCGTGGGTTCCGGTGCTGGCTGCCACTCACCGCGCCTCACTTTCCTCTTTTCTGTAGCGCGGGGACAGGGATGGTCCTGCCTCACGGGGTTGTTGAGATGGCGTTCCTTCGTGGAAAGCGCTCATGCTGCGCCCGTAGAAGGGTCTCAGCCGTGTGAGGAGTTGCAGAGAAAACTTGGTGAACGTAGCGCCGCCGCAGCTGCTGCCCGGGTCTGGGGCACTGCTGCGCTCGACTCCGGTCCTCGACAAGCTCCGCCTCACGCAGCCCGGCGTCCCTCTGTCTGTCTGTGTTTGCAGCGCCCCGCCTCCCGCAGCCTCTCCGCTCCCTGCTGCCGGAGCCAGCGTCGCCGCGCAGCCTGCTCCTGGCATGGGCGCCGCCGTGACCCCGACGTTTCCCGAGGCCGCCCAGCCGCCCAGGCCCGTCACCCCGGTGGAGTGTGGCGGGTACCAGCCCGACTCCGGCCAGGACTTCAGCTACGGCGGCCAGGAGCCCGCCCCGGCGCCCTCCTCCCAGGTATCAGCCGGCGTCTCTGGCCAGCGCCTGTCCTGCCTTGAGAACACGGCTAGTTGAGTGGAAGAGAGTGGCGGGTGGCCCTGGCCCGCAGGCGGTCGGGGACATGCCCTCACTCTCCTTGTGCTCCCATCCCCACCCGGGAGGAGGTCGGGGGCCGTGCCTGCCCTTGTCGGGCCCTTCCCGACCCCAGAGCCCCGGCCGCAGACCTGGCTGCCGCGTTTCCACTAAGGCGTCCCAGGCTGGACGTGGCCCACCCCCCTGGGCCTCTGCCCCCCACAGCTGGTCCCCGGTGGGGTCAGTAAATGGCACCACGGGCCGCCGGTCAGCCAAACTCGCGCTGTTTGCTGCCCCCTCCTCCCTCGGTCGCTCCCCCGAGGCCTCGGGACCTCTCCCTCCACCCCCTCCCCGCTCCCGCCCCGCTCCCAGGGCTCATCTGCTGCTGTGCTTTCGTCCTCGCCTCCGGGTAAGCCCCGATCCCCTCTGAGCCACAATCCCGCTCCGCTGGCTCGGAGCCCAGGCCCTTCCCGAGCCCCCGGCCCCCTCTCCTGGCCGGCACCCTGCGCTCACAGTCTGCTGCTCTTACCATCCTCCGGGGCTCCTGCAAGCCCACCAGCTGAACCCGCCGGGAGCCCTGTTCCCTGCTCTCACACACGTGCCTCCTTGTCACTGCTCCTCCAAGGAGCTGTCCCTGAGCCGCCTTCGTCCTGTTGGACAGTCCTTGGGGCACTTTTGCTCTGGGACATTAACATTGGGTCCATGAGAGTGGGCCGTGTCCATCTCCCGGGTCACTGCGTCCCCAGCTCCGGGCACAGGGCCTGGTACAGAGGGGCCCGGGAGCCGCGGGGACGGTTCGCCTTACCCTTCCTCCTGCTGTGTCTCCTGGGGGCCTCTCACAGGACAGCTCTGGACCGTCGGCAGCCGCCGGTAGCCTTGAGAACGAACGGCCTCAGCTCCCTGCGGCAGCCCCGCTTGGTCAGCCAGGTGGGTCTCCTCGAGGTCAGCGCGCGAGCAGGGGGACGCTGGTGTTCAAGTCACCGTGTAGACACCCCAGATTTGTAGGAGACGGGAGTGATGTGAGTGTCAGGGCTGTCCTCCCGAATGTGCCCTGAAGTCTCACCTGGGAGGTGGGCCTGTGAACGAGGGACGGGGAGAGACAGAGACGGAGAGAGAACTAAAGATGGGGCTAGACGTCTTCTCCGAGGGAGCTTTCCCGGCTTGGAAGGAGGGAGTTCTGCTGAGGACTTGGGCTTCAGAGACGGAAGAGCTGGGGGCTTTGGCCTCCAGCTGTGGCTTAGATGCCTGGGGGCCACGGCTGGCTGATCCGGGCCATGTTGGCTCCTGGCCACTGGGGGGCTGGCTGCGGGTCACGGGGAGTGTGGCTCTTGCTCTCTGGGACGATGGTGAAGGGGTAGCTCCGCACAGAGGCTGCGCTGGCTCTCCAGGGAGCTCACGGCGGTGGGTGCAGCCCAGCACAGACCTCGCCACAGGTGCCTACCGCTCCGGTGAGGCCTCCAGCCGGGGCTCCATCCTCCAGCTACACCCACCCCCGGGGAGCAGTGGTCAGCCTGCGGCCTCCGGGTGCACCCTGCCTTCCCACAGCCCGGCCTCCGCCCCGACACGGGTGAGAGGGCATGTTCCCGAGCACACGTGGGCACAGGCTCTTACCCTATTTACAGTCCAGAACGTCGTCCTGGAAACCAACCCGTCTCCCTCTGTCTCTTCTCTCTGCTTCTCAGGGCCAAGCTACCCAGGCTGTGATGCGGCGGAATCCTCAGCAGCCAGTCCTCACGATCCTCCACCGCTGCCCCAGCAGATGCAGCCCTCCCCACTCCCAAAGGCCGAGGACTCGTCCCCGGAGGCCGGCTCAGGAAGCAGTCCGGGGGCCAGTCCTGGCGACGGCTTCGCCAAGAAGTCCCCGGCTCCTGCCAAGCCGCTGAGAGCCAGGGCCCGGCCCCGGCAGACCCGGCTGCACTACTGCAACGTCTGCAAGATCAGCTGCCCTGGGCCCCAGGTCAGCCGCCCGTCCCCCGGGGCCCACTGGGGGTCAGAGCGCTGGGGTCAGGGTCGTGGCCTGCCCCGAGAGGCCTGTTCCTAAACCTGCAGCATCTAGTGCGCGTCAGATCGCCTACACTTGCCCTGCTGGCGGTCTCGGGCAGGACACGCGTGGCGCAGCGCTGACCGCTGGCTGCGGAAGCGTGGTCCGGCACCCCGAGACGAGGGGGCTCCTCTTGATCTGGGGGGCCGCAGGCAGTGCCCCCTCTTCACAGCGAGGGGCCGGGCAGACGCCGCTGTTTAAGCAGGGCCAGGGGGATGAAATCGACCCGTGTGAGAGTGCGTGTTGGTGTCTGAGGGATCTCCGCCGCGCACGCAGACAGCCCGCTCACTCCGGCTCCGTCCTCACTAAACACCACCTGCTAATTTTGTTTTGTGTTTGATGCTCTGAAAGAAAGCCGGGACCAAGGAGGCACGCCCAGACTCCACACTCAGGCTGTAGAGCTGTGAGGAGCCCCCAGAGCGGCTCAGCCAGCCCCCACTTACCCAGCCGAGGGACGCCCTCCCAGGCCGGGGCACGCCCTGTCTCCTGTCCCCTGTCCGAGCTCTCCAATAGGACCTGTGACTGTCCTTCCTGTGAGATATGCTCCTCAGCCAGAGCTTGGTTTTCCCTGTTCCTGTCTTTGTTTGATTTTTATTTTGCATCCTGGGGGCTCTTGGTTCCTCTCTCGGCTCAAACACAAGTCTGCTCGTGATTCTAGATCCCTCACGGCATCGAGTGAGCATGTGGTATGCCTCCCGCATCGCGTGTGGGGGCGGATGGGGCGTGGGCTCGCGGCCCAGCCCCGCACTTGTCATCACCCTGAGCAGGCGTCTTGGCCTCTCAGCCTCAGTCTCCCCGGGGGACAGGTACGGTGACAGGGTTTGTCTGTCAGCGTAGCGTCTGGCACGTGTGCCGTGTGCCACAGAAACCTCGGCTGGTGTTTCTCCTGGCCTCATGCTAACACAGCATCTTTTAATGGGGATTTTGGTGGAGATGGTGGTAGGGCCACAGGCAGCTGTAAGAAGTGATGCGGAGGGATCCCATGTCCCCTTCCCCCGCGACCCCACGCGGACGTCACGACCAGGATGTTGGCGTTGGCTCCACCCGTCTCATTCAGACGGCCCGCTTTTATGCGTGCTCCTACATGCGTGTGCGTGTGTGTTGTTCCGTGCGAGCCTGTCACCTGGGCAGCCTCGCGTATCCGCTGCCACCAAGAGGCTGAGCGACCCAGAACCACAGGGTCCCTCGTGTGGCCCTCTTCTGCCCCCACTGCCACCCCCACCGCTGTTTCAGACACCATTAAGGTGGGAACAGCCACACCTGGACTCCACCTGCTGTCTGGAACGGACTTGTATGGACATGGCCTCCCCGCGGCCAGGGTGGCAGCACATCTGCGTTTCCTCTGACGTCCGTGTGCGCAGTCTCTCTGGGTCAAGGACGGCATAGCTGACGCTGTAGTCCTCCCGACCCCGAGGGGCGCCGGGAGGGCCGCCTCGGGCTTCAGCAGGAGCCACAGGCCGCGTGGGAGCCCTTGGAGCCGCAGGAGCACCAGACAGGCTTCTTCCTAATGCCCACCCTTCCTGGTGTTTTCTCATTACACATTTAATACCCGTTTGTGGTGGGGGAGTCTGTTGGCGTGTTGGTGTCTGTCCTTCCAGGCTTTTCTCTGTCCCATAGGCTTTTACCTAATACATGTGTGTGCGTGCGCGCAGGCAGTTGCGTAGGACCCACAAGATTCCTCCCTTCCAGAGAGAACCCCCGCACTCCTGTCCCTGCCTCCTCTCCGCCCCCAGAACATGCTGATGGTACCAGTGTCTTTCGTATTTTGCAGAGATATTTCTGTCCCATGGAGCGTTGATTCCTGGCATGGCAGAGTGCATTGGTTTAGCGGGCCTGCTTCACGTGTGTGCTGCGGCTTGCTTTGTCTTAAGGATTCCAGGAGATGGTTCTGGGATGCCGAGTCAGAGCGCGCTCATTTGCCAGACACAGCCAGATGTTCTGGGCACCGTGGTGCAGGCCGCGTGGGCCTGTGCCTCACGTAGCCTCTCCTGTGTGGAGCCCCCAGTTTATTAGCAGTGTTCTCCTGAGGAAGGTCCCCCCGTCATTCCTGGGCAGGCGTCCTTGCTTGGTTTCTGAGGTCAGATTCTGAAAAGCCAGAATCTTCTTTCCCAGCAGCCCCAGAAACTAAATATATAATCTTTGGAGGACGCTTCCTTGAGAAACTCACTGATTTCTAGAAAAAAAAACAAAAAGAAACTTCGTGTCTTTCAGCCTGAGCTTCTGAGTGTGTTGACTGGGTTTAATTAATAAAGTGGCACGTGAACCTCTTGGAGGCCAGTGAATGGAGGGCAGGGATGTCAGGCTGGTGTGTCCCCTCGGGTCCACGTGCACCCCAATGGTGACCTGAGGGGACGGTGCAGTGCCCAGTGGGCACACACACCCCTCAGGCTGCTCTTGCTCTGCCGGCAGACCTACCGTGAGCACTTGGAAGGGCAGAAGCACAGGAAGAAAGAGGCGGCTCAGAACCTGGGCGTCTGGTCCCGTGGCAGCCTGCGCGGGGTGCAGGCCCAGCTGCACTGCGACCTGTGTGCTGTGTCCTGCACTGGTCCGGAGGCCTACGCCGCCCACATCCAGGGCGCCAAGCACCGCAAGGTAGGAGCCCGCTGGGCCCATCCGCCGCCTTCCACGCTGGGGACCGGGGTGGCATCTGGTGACATCGGAGGGGGCAGCCGCCTACGAGAGGGGGCTTTCCCTGCAGGGCCGGTGTCCTGCTTCCTTGGAAGCCACATACCTTCTCCCCGTTATCAAGGTCCCACCTGCCCCCTGGATAGGAGCGTAGAGCTGTGCAGGGGACTTGTACCCAGACCCCCGGGGAAACTGGGGGTGACGAGAGGGTATGTTGATATGAACAAGAGTTTGGACATTGATGAGATCGAATGGTATATTCCATTTGGGCTCCTGCTTTTTCAAAATAAATAAATCAAGCTAAATAAATACATTTGAAATAGTAAGTTTTAATATTTTAACATCAATGTTTTAATTGATGGTAACTTATTTCATATCAGTGTTTTTAATATCTGTTACTATTTTAATATCATCATTTTCCCGTGGCCTTAAAAATGCCTGTATTGTGTCATCTTAGGGGGAAAATTAGTGGGATCCCCCACCTGAGGGAAGGTAGGGAGACCCCTGCCTCTCTCCCCGGGGCTGCTCTTTCTAAGGTCCAGAGGGTGATTTTGGAAAGCAGCAAACCTCCCCCAATGGCACTCACCTGCAGGGAGATGCTCGCCTTATGAGGCGGGCAGTTGGAGACAGGAGGGGGAATCCCTGCATTGTGTGGGGTAGTTACGAGTAGGAGGATCAGGATGGCCCCTGTCCTGTGCTCCCAGCAGTCTGCCCTCTCCTCACACAGAATCTCCCTCAGCTGCCCCAGCCGGCCTGCCTTGCTCCCTCCTGCCCCCGGGCCTTTGCTCGCACCCTCCTGCTCCATGCCGACCCTCCTCCAGCCCCCACTGCAGGGCTGGGCCCCCCTGAGGTCAGCCTCTGAGGGCCTGTCTTCCTCTGCTCATCAAGGGCCTCGTTCCCTGGCCAAGCTGGGCAGGCTCTCGAATGCCTGAGCAAACCACAAACACCACAAAGGAAGGAGCAGACGAGGTGTGAAGAAGGGGGCTCACTGGCTTGGTGGTAGCAGGTGCAGGCAGGAGAGCTAGGGCCCAGGGGGGGTGGGCTGTGGTGTCACGGCTTCCAGGCCAGGACTTGTTCTGGGGTCGGGGAGGCCCTGCAGCCTGCTCTGCGGCAGGGGGCAGGTCTGAGCCATGAGTGTCAGAGACTTGAGCCTGAAAACGTGTCAGATAGTTGTCAGTGCAGACCCTGGGGGCAGTGGAGCAGACTTTTCCAAGTGGAACTTTTGCAATACGTGCCTTTACCTGGGGGCGGGGGGGCGGCGGGGCATGGAGTGTGACTGAATCCTAGGCGGGTCTGTGTCCGTGGATGTGTCCATGCCTTCCTGCGGAATGTGGATACGTGTCCCTGCACATGTATACATACGTACAGAATGTGGACTCGCGCCCACATACAGAGTGTGGATGCGTCTGGGTGCGTACACGCGTATGTACAGAACGTGGACGTGCGTCCGTGAGCACACGCACACGTCTCAGCGGGTGTTCCCTGTCCGCGTGTCCATTCATCACGCTGTGTCGCTGTCTGGGCGGGCCCTGGGCTGGTGTTCGGGGCGTGGAGAAGAGCTCTGCCTTCAGCCCAGGCCATGGAGTCTGGAGGAAGGGTGACTGTCTGCCAGCGCAGGGTGTGGAGGTGTCGTAGGCCCTGCGTGTGCACCACTTCTGCGGGCCTGGAAGCAGGGGCGGCTCGGGAAGGACCTTCCGCAGGGAGGGGTGCTGCAGAGCGTGTTTAGCTGGGAGCCGGGGAAGGGGGGTGCCCCCAGGGGTGGGACGGGCCCACCGCCCTCACTTCCCTGGGTTGTCAGCCCCCCATGCCCACGAGGGCTCCTCCTACCTCTCGAGGAAGGTTGGTCAGGCTTGAAGGTGGCCCTGACGTGGAGCTGGGTCTGTTCCAGGTCTTCAAGCTGCACACCAAATTGGGGAAGCCCATCCCCCACATAGAACCAGTGCCGGAGACCTGCAGCTCGGCCCCTGCCACCTGCACCAGCGAGCAGGCCCCCGCCACCACGGAGAGCCCCCCTGCCAGCCCCAGCAGCCGGCCAGAGCTGCCCGAGAAACCAGCGGCGTCGAAGACCACTCAAGCAGGTGCGTGTGTCTCAGCTTCACAGCCCATCTGCCCGGCCGCACGCTGACTTAGCAGGCTTGGCTTTCAGAGGAGCGATTGTCCAGTTACCTTGTGTGCATGTGCAGCCATCGCGTCTTCCTGGGAGAGACTGGGCTGTGAGGGGGGTGGGTGTGGTGAGGCGGAGAGCTGTTCCAGATTTCCCATTCCTGCCGGGTGGGCAGGATGCGCTTGGCCGCCTGTGGTGCACAGCCTTCTGGACCTTTCACACGAGGCCGTTTCTAGGGCGTGTTGGCAGAACCGACAGTGTGGCGGGCCCCATTTTTCTCGTGCAGCTTGGGACTGTGCTGGGCTGCTGGCCGCTCTCGGGACGCCCAGCCCTATGACTGCAGCATTCCCTGGGCTTCCATGTGCTGGGGAGCAGCCTCTTCACACCCCCGTGGTGACCGTGAACACACTGGGCTCTGACGAGTTCTGTGGATCCCGGGAAATTGAGGCAGGCCCCTTGCAGCCCCTGCTCTGGCCCTGCCTGCCCTCGGGTGTGGGCTGAGCAAGCAAAGGCCGTGTGGCGTGTGCCAGGCTCTCACCCTGTGGTGGCTGCACAGTGTGTCTGAGTACCTCCTCACCTCTCTAAAGTACATGTTGTTCTCAGTCCCAATTAGCAGATGGAAAAACCGAGGTGAGGCCAGGCCACCCCCTAAGCCGTGGGGGCAGGATTCGAACCCAGGTCTGTCCGGCTGTCTCTGCCCATCACCAGCCTGCTTTGTGCGGGGAAAGAGGAGGGGGCTTATTTATTTTCAGCCTTAGCAGCTCTGTTTTTGAACAGTCGTTCAATACTGAATATCGAATCATAAAGCAGCTTTGATAACAAGGAGTGTCACCCTCTCGGGCTCAGTGAAGTTGCCTAATTGGGCTCCCTTGGCCCACCTGCCATCTCAGTTCGATTAAGCAAGGGCTGCAGCATCTGTGCAGTTGGGGGTCCCTCAGTGGGGGGCCTGAACCAGGGCTGTCTCTGGGCACGTTCACATTGGTGTTGAACTCTGTGTGGGACTCAGTCTTCCAGCTGTGACCAAGCTGGCATGGAAGGGGCCTTGCCGGACTGTGGATCCCATGGACGGACGTCACGGAGGGGTGAAGGGAGCAGCAGGAGGCAGGGTTTGCATCTCTCTCTCCCTTCACGCTGGCGGATGGGAAGCCGGCCGTGGTTTCTGGCCGGAGCAGGTTAGAAGTAACTCAGTTCTTTCTTGCAGGACCTCCTGAGCCGCAGGCAGCAGGCAGCAGACCCCTGGAAGGGAAATCAGCACACCCTAAATCAGTGGGGCCGAAAGAGCCGCCCACCCGAGGAGGCTCTGCGGAAGCTTCTGGAAGCTGCTGTGATGCGCAGCCGGTGGGCCTAGGCTTCGTGGAAGAGGTAACTGCTGGGCGACCATCACACCCTTGGGCCATCCATGTGTGTGCCCTGCTCTGCCTCTGAGCTCTGCTGGAGGAGGGCCTTACGAGGGTTCAGGCTTCGAGAACCCCCTAGTTCTCCATCTGACATTTACACAGCCGTCCCCAGGCAGGCCTCAGGGAGGTCTGAGGAAAACATCAGGATGTCTGATGTTTTCAGAACATCATGTGGAACGTGCTGGAAGGTCTAGGTGCTGGGTTTCAGATCTTAGAAGGAAGGCCTGAGACAGGCAGAGGCGTTTCCCGCTGGGAGCCCCTTGTCCTGTGGGGAGGAAGGTGGAAAGAGGAATTGGGCCTAAGAAAGCTAGGCGACCGCTCACCCCATAGGCACCTGATTCTTGGGGCACGAGGAGCCCGTGTGCCCAGACGCGGCCACCGCCCAGAGCCCAAGCGGTGGCCCGCAAGGCTTGTCTTCACCAGCCTTTTAGAACTCCAATTCTGAGGGCTTCCAAAGATGTGCGTGGCCAAAAGGAAGTAGGGGCGTTAGCATTCCTGCTGTTTTCAGTTTCACGTTCTTGTGCAACCAGTTCGGCGTCTTCTGTTCTGTCACTTGCAAAATAACCACAGCAGATAGGAGGCCTGTCGCTGGACGTCTGTGTGTGATAGTCAGGGAAAGGAGGCACAGAACAGCCGCAGGAGACAGACAAGGGTGCACGGTGGGCGGAGATCACGGCAGGGCAAGGTGTCGCTGCAGGTGGCTGCGCCGGGGGAGGAGGGGACAGGGTGGTGGCAGAGGTGAGCTGGGCCTGGGCAGGCGTGTGGCCCGGCTCCTCCGAAGGCCGCCCTGTAGGAGAAAAGCGTTCGGCAGATGGGAAGCCAGCACCGGCTGGGAGGCCCGGCTGTCGCTCCTCTGGGGGGCGGGAGGAGGTGCCCCTGCCGGGGGTCAGCTGAGCTCCGTGTCTCAGGTGTACAACGAGGAGGGCAAGGTGGTCCGCTTCTACTGCAGGCTGTGCGAGTGCCGCTTCAACGACGCCCACGCCAGGGACCTCCACGTGCGGGGGCGGCGACACCGGCTACAGTTCCAGGTGCGCCTGCCCGGGGACTCCGCCCGCCCGTCTTGGTGGCGTGGGGTTGACTGCAGGTGGGGGGGTTTCTATGCTGTCTCCCACCTGTCCACGTCTCAAAGTGCACCTTTGCCCCCGTGCGTCTGAGCCCCGACCGTAGCCCCAGGCCGGGTGGGCCTCTCCAGCTGCGTCCAGACCTGCCTTTCCCGCTGCCCTCGGACCAGAGGAGAGATCCGGAGTGCTATCGGCCCGTCGCATTTGTCTCTGCTGGTGAATGCTGAGCTTAAGTCCGTACCAGCACACGGTCAAAGCGTTGACGTGCCCACGGGACAGGCCTCATAGTGTGCCCTCACTCCCCAGACGCGTGGCATCGCTTGTGTCCTGTTTGACACAAGGCCCAGGACCTGGGTGCTGAGCAGTGGTTGGGGGAGGGGGCGTCCAGCCATCCCGGCTGAGCCATCCCCTGGGAGCCATCCGTGGAGGAGCCGGGGCCTCCCACTCGAGGGCCTGATGGCAGGGCTCCCCAGAGCGCTGTCAGCGGCCGTTACAGGCCTCCCTCTCACGGGTGGTGCTGGGTTTCACAGTAACGGTGTTTCCCGAATCATTTTGATTGGGAATGAGCATTTTCTGGTGGGTTTTCGGTGAATGCTCCTTGGTCACCGGTGTTACTCGCCAGCAGTGTTGCAGCACCTTCCTCCTTCCGTCCTTCATCAGACTCAGAGACGGGGGTTCGGCTTCCGTGCAGGCAGACCTCACGTCTGCTAACTCTTTATGTTGCTGTAGCCTTGTTCCCTTTCCCGCCTTGGCTTCGGGGACCAGGAGTGTGACGACTTTGGGGGCTTGAAACCCAACTGTTGCCTAATCCAGCGGAAGGATGGTGGTAGGGGGCTCTCCCAGGTCCCTGAGACACCGCCGGCATTCTCATCTCAGTGGGGGTCTCCGACCTTACGGCCCTTCCCCGTCTTTCCAGAAAAAGGTGAACCCTGACTTTCCGCTGGCAATCCAGCCCAGCAGCAGGACCCTGCGTCTGCTGGAGGAGCGCGCGCGGAGGCAGAGGCTGCTGGCCCGGAGGCAGCTGGAGGGGCTGCGGCGCTGGCACGCGGAGATGAGGTGCGCGGGGCCTTCCCCCTTCCCGCCCTTCCCTCCCACCTCTGCCCCCGGGGGCTTGAGGACCAAGCCTCCGCTGTCCGCTCTGTTTGGGGGCGTCTGTGGTCACTTTCAAGCCTGAGGACCCAGATGCTTCTGACCCCGGGCAGGCAGGACACCGCGCTCGCGGGAGACTTGGAGGGTCTTAGAGCAGGCGGGCCCCTGCGCACAGGGTGCTCTGAGTTAGTGCACGACACCTAATGCCAGGTGGTGCCGCCATGGTGCTCTCGGGCCCAATTCACAGGGACGCTGTGTCCCATGACCCCTGACCCCTCGTGTCCCCCTGACTCCTGGTGTCCCCTGCCCACCTGCACATTTGTCATCCTCCTTCACCCTCTAGAGCAATTCCAGAGTGTTTTCTGACACGGTATTCGATTCACGGAAGATCGTGGCAGCGTCTGAGCTGGGGAACGAGGCCCAGGACAGACTTGGGGCTGCGGCCGCTCGGGTCTGTGTCCCACTGGCCCTCCGAGCCTGCCTCCCTGGCATACTGGGGGCATTCGTGCAGGACCCTCGTCTGGGCTCTCAAGGGGTCCCGTTGGGCTGCCGCGTCTCTCAGTCGTCCCGAGCCCCAGCCTTGCTCAGCCCAAGGACCGGGCGAAGGAGCCCTGTGTCCCGGCTTCCGCACGTTGCTGGCCGCAGGAGTCGTGGGCAGCTCCAAGGTGACGAGCCCGGGGTCCTGCTGCTGCTTACAGCTCATTGTCTGTCTCCGTCCCCACAGGCGCCAAGACCTGTGCAGGAGGCAGCTAGAGGAGGAGCTGGAGGCCCAGGACGAGCACCCAGGACACTCGCCGCCCGACCAGCACCTTCCTCCCCGCAGGAGCAGGCCGGGCGCACCCGCCGACACGCCTCTGGTGGGTGGTGGTCTGGGCTTTGGGCTGAAACGCCTCCTGTGGCAGGGCCCCGCGGGTGGGGGACGTTCTCACTCCCTCAGTAGGGAGACCTGGATCTTCGGGGAACGAGGAGCAGGACTTTGTTCTGAGGCGCCCAAGGGGTGCTCAGGGGGTGGGAGCTGGGAGGGCCTGAGGGTCCACGGCCCAGCCCCCCTCGCTGGTCACCGACAGAAGCCCAGCCTCAGCCCCACCGCTGGCCACCGCGGTCCTTTCAGCTTCCTGAGGCGCAACTGTCACATCCCTCGGGAGCCCTCAGGTGTCTCTCCGTCTGCAGAGGCTGGTCTCGGGGTGGGACAGGAACCTTAGGTTTGCGCCTTCAGGGAAGAGGGCCGCTGAGTTGGCTGAAAAGCCTCTAGCTCAGAAACATAAGCCTATCGCCAGAGGGGAGCCGCTGGCCCCCACCTAGCCCCCAGCTCCCCGAAGCCATCGGGGCAGCCCCAGGGTCCTCACAGGTTCACCCCCCATGGGTCCCTGTCATTGCTCAGCCTGGCTCTCTGGCTGCTGCCTGCCTGTCACCCCCAAAGCCAGCCTGGCTCTGGGGTGCCCATGGCCTCCTGCTGCGTGTGCCTCGCCTCTGCGGGGCTGACACTCGTCCTGTCCCCTGCCTCCCGGGTCCCCAGGACCTCTCAGCCTATGCAAGACATGTGCACCTCTCCTCGCAGCCCACACGACGGCCGGAGTCCAGCGACGACCGGCATGTCCTGTGCAAACACGCTGCCATCTACCCCACGGAGGAGGAGCTCCTGGCCGTCCAGAAGGCCGTCTCCCACACGGAGCGCGCCCTCAAGCTGGTGTCCGACACGCTGGCCGAGGAGAATTCCGGAAGCCCAGAGCAGGAGGGCAGGGAGCACAGGTAATAGAGCTCACTCTCCCTTCCCAAGGCCGGGGTGACTTCGAGAACGTGGGGAGTCCACTCACTCCCGACGGAGGTCCGTGTTCTGGACAGGAAGTGGCGGCCAGAGGGGCAGAGGCGGCCCGACCCATGACCGGCTTTGCGCCCTCTACGGTCGCCAGGGCTTTCAAGCTGTGGGCAGAAAGTTCCACAGGTCTCCGAGCCGCAGCCCCAGTGCTCAAAGGGAGTTTTAGTCCCAATTGGTGAGAGCTGTGTTCCAACCCCAGGGTTTACTTTTCCCACCAAGGGCGCATCTAGAAATAATAACGAAGGATGAACCTCCTGTCTCCCCATCTGAGGAGTGGACAGAAGTGTGGTTCTGCCCGGCCTCCGCCTCTCGGAGCGATTCAGTCACCAGAGATGCCGCTAAGGCCCGCGTGACTCGTCCTTCCTGGAGCTCTGGCTCTTGGGGGCGGACAGTCCCCAGCCTCATCGTGAGTCCTTACGTGGCTGCAGTAACCCCCGAGGGAGGCCGCCTCTCCAGGGCCTTTCTCTCCCGGTTGCTTCTTTCTCCTTTCTTTGTTCTAGCTTTTTTCCATTGTGGTAAAGTACTGAGAACCCTTGTAACCATTTTTGTGTGCACCACATAGTGGCACTAAGTATGTTCACAAGGTTGTGCAGCCGTCACCACTATTTCTAGAACTTTCTCATCATCTGAAACAGAAACCTGTCCCTGTTAAATTCCCCACCCCCCGCCCCAGCCCCTGGCACCCCTCGTCCTACTGCCTGTCTCTATGGCTCGGCCTGTTCTGGACGTTTCGTGTGAGTGGAATTACGCAGTATTCATCCCCTTTGAGTCTGGCTCACGCCACCGAGTGGCTCCTTTTTCCCGTAGTGTTTGCTCCCTGGAAAAGCGTGTGTGAGGGGCCGGCCGGGTGGCGCAGCGGTTAAGTGCTTGAGCTCTGCTTCAGCTCGCGGGCTTCGCAGGTTGGGATCCTGGGCGCGCACCGACGCACTGCTTGTTGAGCCATGCTGTGGCGGCGTCCCATATAAGTAGAGGAAGACGGGCACAGAGGTTAGCTCAGGGCCGGTCTTCCTCAGGAAAAAGAGGAGGCTTGGCATGGATGTTAGCTCAGGGCTGATCTTCCTACCAAAGAAAAAAAACAGCGTGTGAGTTCCAGTGTTGTGATGGAATGGACGCGCCCCTCAGCTTGAACTCGAGGGCCTCCGCCAGTATGTGAGAGAGCGAACCTTCCTCACCGCCTGGTGGAGAAAGCCAGGGCGCAGAGACATTCCCTCCAGCTCCCCCACTGCCCGCGTGGAGCCAGCACACAGGGTGGCCGCGTCCCAGGAGGGGGGTTGGTGACGGTGGCGCCACCCCAGCTCAGGGGGCTCGGTTTGCTCCTGAGTAAGGAGGAGGTGGTCTGGCCTCTGGCCCGGGTCCCCAAGGTGTGACGGCAGAAACCGTGATTTTGCTTCTACCCGGAGCCGGCCGGCACCGAGGACAGAAAGGGTGTCCTGTTGTTGAACCCCCGCGAAGCGTGGCTTCTGACCGGAAGCTTGCCCTCCGCCCCTTGCTCTGCTGTCTTCCTCCAGTGTCCTCCCTGTGCCCGCCTTCTGCTTTTGCTTTGATTGGTTTTGTAACTTTTTATTTTGGAAGCATCGTGGGCTCATGACAAACGTAGCACAGAGAGGGCCTGCAGCCCTTCCCCAGCTTGCCCCGTGCAGACACAGGAGCTGCCGCGCTAGCGTCAAGGTGGGGGCGGGCGTGGCTCCTCCAGCCTCCCTCGGCCCCCCAGGGTCAGCATGTGCTCTGCTTCTCAGAGGGCAAGAGGTACGGTTCGATGGCCTCCCACCACCTGTGCAGATGTGCAGAACCCTGCCAGTCAGGACCCAGAACCTTCCATCAATACAAAGGAGCAGCCCAGTGTTCCCCCTCACAGCCCCACGCTGCCCCTCCCCTAAACCCAGCCTGTGCTGTGTGCTTTAGAACAAAACCCACTTCATTTCTTTTTTTTGTGTGTGTGTGAGGAAGATCAGCCCTGAGCTAATCTCCACGCTAATCCTTCTCTTTTTGCTGAGGAAGACTGGCTCTGAGCTAACATCTGTTGCCAATCCTCCTCCTTTTTTTCCCCAAAGCCCAGTAGATAGTTGTACATCATAGTTGCACATCCTTCTAGTTGCTGTATGTGGGACGTGGCCTCAGCATGGCCGGAGAAGCGGTGCGTCGGTGTGCGCCCGGGATCCGAACCTGGGCCACCAGTAGCAGAGTGCGCACACTCAACTGCTAAGCCACAGGGCCGGACCCCCACTTCATTTCTTTTAAGCTGTCGCGTGACATTTGTGTACGTTATGGGTTATGTCTTTACCTTACTTTTCAAAAACACAGAAGTGTGTTTTTTAGTAGGAACATCATAAACCATCCTCTGGATGTTCCATTCTTTAACTGTTGCAAAGAAAATGTTAGTGTTTTGGGTTTTTAAAGTTTTATTATGGAAATTCACTGACATGCACCAAAGTTGTCGGGATAGTAGAACCGTAAGGACACTGTGGGACCGTCCCTAGACCATGATTTTGCTTGATCTCTGGCCCCCCGACCCCCTCCGGGAGAGGTTATCAGAAATCCCCTCAGACATGACACTGTTCCTTTAGTGAGTATTCAGCCCGGATCCCTAAACCATAAGGACTCTCTTTTTATTCAACAAAACCACAATGCCATTATCATACTTGAAAAAGTTAACAACCGTTCTTCAGCGTCATCAGGTGCCCAGTCAGTGTTGAAATTTCCAGTTGTCCCATAGGTATCATAATGTGGCTTTGTGGTTTTGGGGGGTTTTTGTTTCACTGTTTGTGTGAATCAGGATCCAGATCGATCAACAGGCCTCTAGGTCTCTCCGTCTGCAGGTCCCCCGCCCCCGCTCTCTGCTCTGCCCCCCTGCGGGTCTCGGCCGCAGAATCTGGTCCTGGCCCCGCAATCCAGGGTCCCCGGTCTGGGTTTTGCTGGCAGCCTCCCGAGACAGGTACCCGCAGGCTGTGTCGGGCCCCAGCGCCCTGTGGTCCGGAAACAGACAAGAATACGTAAACGCATTAAAAAAACAAGGTTATCTCCTGGCCTGACAAGTGTCACAGAGAAATCAAATTTGAGTGGCAGGAGCGGGTGGCAGCTTCTGGAGTCAAGGAGAGGACATTTGTGTCGAGATCTGCCACGTGAGGGCACCCCAGGCAGCGCTCTGGGCCAGAGGGAGTCTCATGGGCAGGAGCCGGAGGACTGGGAGAGGGGTGGAAGGAGAGGATGGTGGCAAGGAGGCCGGCGGTCAGGCTGGGGGCCGCGGCCGGGGAGGAAGCTCGGATGTCCCCACCCTGCAGAGGGGCAGCCGGGAGGTTAGCTGTCGGGGGGAAGCTGCCCTGGGCTTCAGAGCGCTGAGCACAAGCAGAGGCCTCTGTTAGGAGGCCGTGGTGCAGGGCGGGCGGTAGGAGCCTCGGCACAACTCGGAGCACAGGGATGTGAGGGGAGGGCACACCCGGCTTTCTCGCAGAGGAGTCGAGGTGGGGCGAAGTGACCCCAGGGATAGCTCAGAAGAAGCACAGGTCCAAGGACCAGGGGACACTGGGGGTGGCCACCAGTGGCCTTTTTCAGCATGCATTGTATCAGGAAACAGTAACGACTGCCGGCCCTCCCTGAGCACGTACAATTTGTGGGTCGCGGTTCAAGCGCTTCTCTCAGACGTGTCTCCTCTGTGCCTTTTATCAGTGGCGTGCTCGCGGCTCCCAGGTGAGAAAGCCAAGGCAGAGCGGCCCAGGAGGAGCTCGTGCATGCGCAGGAGCCGGGAGCCCGGCAGGGTCATGCGCTCCCCTTCTCCCCGCCCCTCTTCTCGCACGCGGGTTCCCATGCTTTTGTGATTTGTCCTCGCAGCGGCATCGACCCCTCTGCTCGGATCCTGAAGGGCGTGATGCGGGTCGGCCTCCTGGCGAAAGGCCTCCTCCTGCGGGGAGACAGGAGTGTGCAGCTGGCCCTGCTCTGCTCCCAGAAGCCCACGCACAGCCTGCTGCAGAGAGTCACGGAGCAGCTGCCCCAGCAGCTCCCGGTAAGGTTCCCGGCCGCCACTGTGTGTCGGGCTCCCAGCGGGTGGGACTGTGTTTCTGCAGGACGTGAAGAAACGGGAGACGTCACTGTTAGACACAAACCAGTTTGTTTTTACAGACAGTGGAAAAGAGAGAGCCGTGGGACTTTGGGGTTCCTCTATAAAGGGAGTTCAGGGTAAAACTGGGCAACAGTCTAATTGTCTCACCACTGAGGGTGGAAACGTACGTTCCATCCACCCGAGTCGACTCGGCCTTACCAGCCATCGAAAAGGGTAGGTGGTGGCGAAACCTGCACGGAGACCCTTTGTGGAGGTGGTGACTGTGAGGTTCATGTCCACAGAAAGCCTTCTGCCCGGATGTAAACCCACCCTGAGGACTGGGGGGGACGGACTTTTCTCTAGAGCCGCTCCTCTGTTGTCATAGTTCTTGATGATGGAGGAAGAGTGAGCTCATGCCGTGATTTAAATCGGTCATCTTAGATGAAGAAGTCAGTTCCCAGGGTGGTCTCTTCTTCGTAATCTGTCGCTGTTCCCGAGAGAATTCAGCATCGCTCCTCCGCCTCGCTCAGTGAGCTCGGGGGGCCGGCAGACCCAGGCCCGCCCTCCAGGCTCCTGCTCTGGTCAGGAGACAGAATAAACACACAGAAGCCACTTCCCAGTTTATCTTGTGTGAGGAAATTAAAACCTGAGGCCAGGTTGAGAGCAACTGGGGAAAGTGGGGGCCACGTCAGGATGGTGGGAGGTGTGTGTCCTAACAGGATGGAGCATGTGAGGGAAGAGCTGAGGAACAAGGAGAGGCCTTGAAAGATGGGGGGCAGTATCCCACATAGAAGGACCCGGCCTGCAGAGGCCAAGGGGCAGGGGACCCCAGGAGAGGCATGCCTGAGCAGAGGACAGCCTGGATCAAGCCAGGCCTGAAGGCCGTGTGAGGAGGTAGGACTGCATTCTCAGGGCAGCGGGGAGCCTGGAGGGTTTTAAGCAGGAGAGTGATGTGCTCTGACTTCACTGATCTAGTCACTCATTTCCCCGTCACCCACAGCATGGCAGTTTTCTGCTAAATGCTGTAGGGGTACAGAGATGGCTCAGATGCAGGCCCTGTCTTCTGGAACCTTGCAGCCCAGCGGCTAAGAGAAGCCCTAAGAAGATGGCCAAGGCTGTGGGCGAGCTGGCACTGGGCCCCACGTAGTGACGTAGATGATCCTGGGGGCCGCCTCAGCAGGGGGGCCCTGAGACGGGAGGGGTAGTGGTCGAGAGAAAGGGGCATGTCAGGTGGGAGAGCGGCCTGAGGCGTGTGTGCGTGCGTGGGAGGCGTCGGAGGGTGGTGAGGACGGTGGACGGTGTGTGCTGCGAGCCCCGGGCTAAGCCGTCCCGGGCAGGAACCCCGAGGATCCACACGGGAACCCCGAGGTGGGCCTTGCATTTGCTGTTCCGCACACGGAGACACAAAGCACAGTGAGGTCCAGCGAGGCCGGGGGAAGCGTTTGACCCTGCAGTCTGACCCGGGAGTCCCCGTGCAGCCCAGTGTGGAAAGACAGCTTTGCCAGGGCTGAGGACAGCCGGGGTGCAGAGACAGCTACGTGAGGCTCCACGCCAGCTCAGGGCACGCTAGCCAAGCGTCTCGGGGGCTCCCAAACGAGCGAGGGGCCCAGTCAGGCCCTCTGGGCCTCTGCTCTTTGCAGCAAACCCTCCTTCATTGTGGAGTCTCCCTGGGATGCTGGGAACCAGGACGGGCCGTTCAAGTTCTCATGGCTGTGAGCAGGGGTCTCTTCTCCGTGAGACCCCCAGAGCGAGAGGCTGGCGGGGGTGAAGGCTAGGAGGCTGTAAGGGGAGGGGAGGTGGGGGGAATCCCACCGAGGGCTTATTGGAGTTTGCTTGTAAGGGACCACCCCTCTCAGGGTGTCCCCCAGTGAGGGGGCAGGGGCAGGGGTCAGAACGATGCCTGCATTTGGGGCGAGGGGAACCCTGGGCCTCCGTGGCAGGCGTGGGATGGGGACCAGAGCCAGAGGGGCTTAGATCTTGCCTGGAGGCAGCCCCTGTCCAGTGTCCTGTGAACCCCCCTCACCTCTGTGTACCCAGACGGTAGCGTGTGACCAACCAAAGGGTCTTGCTCTTTCTACTTAATGACATCTCTTGGATCGCGTTCCATACTCGTGCTTAGGAGGATTCTTCTCTGTGGCTGACGAGAATTTTGTTGCCATTTGTCCATCACTGGCCGGGTCCTTCCATGGAGTCGGACATTTAGGCTGTTCCCAGTGTTCTGTGTTACCAGCAAGGCCACTCAGAGTGAATAAGCTTGTGCACACACCCCTCCCCATGTGTGGGAGTGCATCGTGGGGCAGAGTCACCGGGCCAGAGGCACGAGCTGGATGCTTCTGGCAATGTTGCCAGGTCAGCCTCCACCGGCAGTTCATAGACGCACGGATCTGCCAACCTAGCTGCTCCCCAGACTTGAGCTTTGTCCTTCTCACAGGGAAGGACACCTCGTTAGTTTTAATTTGCATCTCTTTTACCGTGGGGGTACTCTGTCGTTGTGTAAAAGGGGGCACTTCTGTTTCCTTTTCTGCCAACTGTCTGTTGTGCACTCGCCAATTTTCTTGTTGTATTGCTGGTCTTGTTCTTATTGAGCTGTGGGTGTTCTTTACATATGAAGGCATCCCATGCAGGCTCCACTGTCTGTACGCATGTGAGCTCCTGGGGGCGGGGCTGTCTCAGTCCCTTGGAGGTTTCTGACACGTGGCCCAGGGCCTGTCTCCCGACCACGTCCTTGTTGTTCACACTGCCTCTTGGTTGGAGTAACACAGTCTTGTGTTGTGTTTGCACCTCGTAGATGGTGACGGAGGACAAGTACGAGGTCTCTTCCGACCCTGAGGCCAACATCGTCATCTCCTCCTGCGAGGAGCCCAGGATGCAGGTCACCGTGTCCGTCACCTCGCCCCTGATGCGGGAGGACCCCTCCGTGGATCAAGGTGCGGCCAGGCCCTCTGTCCAGCCCCCTCCCCACCTAGGTGGCCTAGGGCAGCCGTCCACCTCTGCTCTGGGCGGGGTGGGGCGCGGCCAGTGGCCTTTGGGCACTCTGTCAGCCCCGGATGCCCCGGTCAGATAAGAGCGGGGCCTGGGGCAGTGGAGGAAACCAGCTGGTGAGGGGTGTCAGATGGCCAGAACCCGGCTGCGGGGCACTCGGGGCCCCACGCTCTTATCCTGACCCCGGGCCAGCGGGTGAACCTGCTCCTCGCTCAGGGGAAACCAGCTCTGCCCGGTCCCCCAGCCTCGGCAGGAGCTCAGATCGACTCTGTCCGTTTGTCCATAGCAGGGGCTGCAGCAGACCCCGCTGCTCCCGGACATGGGCTCAGGGGCCAGAGGCAGACCAAATTGTCTGAGAGAGGAGGGGTGCTGGCCCAGGCCAGAGGGTGGCCAGGGCTCGAGTCACCGCCACGCAGTGAAGGCCAGCCGACAGGGACATGCTGTGTCTCAGAGCTACGGAACCTCCTGGAACAGCCCCCAGGATGGTTTTCCGAACTCCAGTCATTCTGGACCCCCCTCCTGATTGTTGTGTCACAGCCAAGGGCCTCAAACTACTAGCGTTTGTCTTTAAGTCAATTCATTTTTAAAGAGGGGCGCCTTTGAACCGTATGTGGAAAGCCATTGCCAGTTGTCACAAATAGAGAGTCCTCTAAAAAATAAATACAGTGGGAAAAACAATAATGCCATTAAATTCCAGCTAGAGGCCCCAAACACAGACGGGGGGTGGTGTTTGGGAACGGTAGAAAGCCTTACAGATCTGGGGCCCTGCCTGGAAGGAAACCCCCGTGACAAACATCCTGAAACAGGCCACAAGCCCAGGTGCCAGGCCACCAGGCGCCGCATTTCCCATCAGGTGTCCGGCCCACTGCTGCCTGTCGCGGCCAGTGGCTTCTAACCACCACCACCCCACCCCCCCGCCGCAGACACAGCCTGTCACCTCCATCTCAGCCTTGAGGGGGTAATTCGCCTGCCCTGCGCGATGGGCAGACACCAGGCCTGGGATCCTGGGGATGCTTCTGGGCGAAAGTGAAACCCGGGCTCCATCCTGTGATGGAAGTAAGCCAGGGCCTCCTCGCCTGAGAGAAGGAGAACATTCCTGGAGCAGTAACAATAAGAAAGAAAAAACGGACCTCAATTTCTCCCAGACACGGGGGCCTTGGTCATCGATGATGGGACAGGTTCACATCTGACCCACTTTCTCCCTTTTAATTCTGCATCTAGAAGTTTCTGGAAATCTGGCGCAATTCAGTTTTCCGTCAGATCTGTAATTTGCTAACCAAAGAGTCGGTGCGGAGGGCGCTGGGTCACAGGCATGAGCTCCTTCCCTGTGGGAGCACGGCGCCTCCGAGGAGGCAGGGTTCTCACGGAAGTGCTCTCCGGTCCTTGCAGTGTCGGGGGAGAGAGAGCATCTGGGGGAAGCATGTGTCTTCCAGATAAGTAAGATGAGGCCCAGAGTCGAGGGCCTGGTGTGCGTGGCCCAGGAGGGGAGCGGAGTGGGAAGGGGCGCCCGGCCCATGTGCCCTCGGGAACCCGCTCTTCTTCTTCTTATAGAAGGAGTGGAGGCGCCTGAGCCCGACCCGGGAGATGTCCTGAGCCCGGAGAAGTGCCTCAAGTCGCTGGCCGCCCTGCGCCGCGCCAAGTGGTTCCAGGTCAGGGGGCAGGGGAGGAGGGGGCGCAGGTCAGTCCGTCTGTCCTGCCTCAGCCGTGCGGGCTCTGAACACAGGCGGAGGACAGACACCCGGAGGCGGCTCCTTGCCGAGACTCACCTGACAGAGGTCACCTCCTGGCCGATGGGGTGGGGACTTGAAAGGAGTGATCGTGGCTCTGGGGTTGGGGACGCCACGGCCACCTGACGGCCATGCCGGGGGCTCAGAACGGGGCCAGTTTAGTTGACTGGTGCCCACATGGGAGTGGGCTCCGCTCCCAGCCGCTGCCCTTGAGGCCGGCCGGCCTGTGCCACCTGGAGTCCCTGCCCGGCCTCCACTGCCAGGACAGACCCCCCTGGCTGGCCTCACCACCCCAGGGTCAGCGGTTGTTCCCAGCCCCGCGCCTGTCCCCTCGTGGCCACGTGCACGCGGTTCCCACAGCTAACGGTGCGCTTCTTCCCCGAAGGCGCGAGCCAGCAGCCTGCAGCCGTGTGTGATCGTCATCAGAGTCTTCCGGGAACTCTGCCAGCGCGTGCCCACCTGGGGCGCCCTGCCGGACTGGGTAAGGCAGCACCGGGCGGCCAGCCCACCCTAGGAAGGTCCCCGAGGGCCTCATTTCCTCCAAGACAGCTGTCCCCCATCCCGGCGCTCGGCTTTCCAAGATGGGGCCCACAGAAGCCTGAGCACCCGGAGAGGGAGATCAGGGTGGGCACCTCGGGGTCCCCCATGACCAGGAAGAGCCTGCTGGGGGCACAGCCATGTTCGATTGCCATTTTCTTAAACCCATGGCCTCGCAGACAGAACCAGCTGGCTTAAAAATGTGGGAGCGCCCTGGGGAAACGTGGCACCTCTGCCTGGACCTGCGGCGTCAGTGCAGAGGACCGGCCAGGACAGGGAGCCGGGCCCCATGCTGGCTCCACGGCGGCCTCTGGGCGGCCTGGTGCACCCCCCGCTCCCATTCAGGGGAGACCCCCTGCAGCTATGACACCTGGGTCAGTAGGCCCCAGAGCCCCTTGGTGGGGAGAGGAGAGCAGAGAGAGTGCAGCGCCCCGTGGCCCCTGAATCCCCAGGCTGCTGTGTTGTGAGACCCCCAGGTCCCCACCCTCTTCGGGGAGTGCCTTGGAGAACGAGTTCCTCCTAACCCTCGGGACGCTGGTTTGCAGTGTTTACTCTCCATGGGCTTTAGCTCATGGGGAAACTGAGGCGTAGAGAGTGAAGGGCAGCCCATGGCCCTGCCAGGAGGTGTCAGGCCCTAGTGCCCACCCTCCTCCGAGAAGTTCAAGGGTGTGTGGGAGTCAGGGAAAGAGCTGGGAGGGGCCTCCCGTCCCAGAGCCCCTGGAGACCCCTGGCTGAGCCCACAGAGCCGCTGGGGTGGGAGGCAGGCTGGCCGAGCTCTCTCCAGGGAGACTCAGCGTCTCCGTCTCTGTCCCCGCCCGGCGCAGGCCATGGAGCTGCTGGTAGAGAAGGCTCTGAGCAGTGCGACCGGGCCCCTGAGTCCCGGGGACGCCGTGAGACGGGTCCTGGAGTGCGTGGCCTCGGGGACGCTCCTAATAGGTCAGTCCCTGCCCACCGGGGAGCCTGGACACTGGAGCAGAAGGGGGGACCGGGACGGCCTTGGTGGGGAGATTTCCAAGGGAAAAACCAAGAGCTCAGATAACGGGTTCTGCCTGAGACGTTCATCGCGGCGTAGTTGGCGGGAGCGGAAAGAGAAAGAAGGCCTCACACTGTCTCACGAGCGTTACAAACGGAAGTGGTTTCCAGTTATCCTGGTGCCGTTGGATGATATCGTATTAAGTGACGAGATTAATGCCCTGGGCCCGTGTGTGTGCCTTTTATGTAACTACACACTCGCACACGTGCACACACGAACACAAAGGCCCAGGCACGGGGGGAGGGCTGTCCCGGGTGAGACGCCCCCCAGTGGAGACCCTTTGCCAGCTGAGGGTCCGTGGGCGCCTGGGGTGCAGTCGTGGACCCAGTGCTCAGACCCTCAGGCCCCCGGCACTGCAGGCCGCAGGGGCGGTCTGTCACGAGGGTGCTCTCTCCTTCCTTGCTGCCCCCGCCCCCCCACAGACGGGCCCGGGCTCCAGGATCCGTGCGAGAGAGAGCAGACGGACGTCCTGGGGCCCATGAGCGCCCAGCAGCGGGAGGACGTCACGGCCAGTGCGCAGGTAGGAGGCGCACCGGGCCCAGCCCGGTTTGCAGCTGCCTGGCGTCCCAGGAAGTGGTGTGGGGTCCCCTCCCCTTGCTCCCTCCCCTGCAGAGTGGGAGGCCCGGGGGAGGGAGCCTGTGCAGGGTGGGGGCGGGGGGCGGCTCAGAGCCGGAACCTCCAGCTGTCCTAGGATAGGCGCAGGTGTGGGGCCTCGGGCTGTGCCTGTCGCTCACCCCCTTCCCCGGCCAGCCTCAGGCACGGCGGCAGAGCCCCCAACTGTGGTCTCCCTGTGGTCTCCTGTTCCTTTGCAAGTTTATTGAGGAGAAAGGCCCCCGGGGGTTCACAATTCACACTGGGCCTGGGCTTCATGAATCGCCTTTGATGGAAAGAGTCAAGTTGCTGCTGATCAGAGCCCAACTGGAAGGGGCTTGGGGTCCCCGCGGTGAGGCAGAAAAGAGCTGCTATGCCCAGGGGCTTCCAGCAAAGTCCCGCCGTCAGCCACCAGGGGCTCCTGCTCCAGTTCTCCACGCCCGAGGGGGCCCTGAGCTGGAAGGGGCGGGCGGGGTGCTGACGGGCTGTCTGTCCCCAGCACGCGCTGCGCCTGCTGGCGTTCCGGCAGATCCACAAGGTCCTGGGCATGGACCCCCTGCCGCCCCCCAAGAGCAGGCCTGGGGCGCGCTTCCGGAAGAGGCTGCGGGAGGCGGCCGAGGCGCCGGAGGACGAGGGCCCGAGGAAGCGGGGCCGGCAGGGCGGGGAGGGGCCCGTGTGAGCGGCCTCGCCCCCGGACGGACCTGCTGCCACCGAGTGGAGTGGCCGAGTCATCCCCGGCGTTGGACACTCGGGATTTCCGTTTGAGTAACGTTCTGTGGGTTTCCTTAAAAACACTTGTGCTGGATCATTGGAGAAGTCGCGTCATTGGGGGTGAGGGCCGCCGGGCAGCACCCCGCACCCCGAGCCTGCCCCACGGGGCAGAGGCGCAGCGCGGCGATCTTAACCCGGGCGGTTCTCCCAGGCTAGCTTTAAATCCCCCCGGGGCCTCAGAGGGTGTGGGTGTCCCAGCCGCCTCCTTCAGATGCCCCGGGACAGGCGTGGGGCCCCGTGTCGGGAGGGCGGGCCCCGGGAGGCAGGCCGGCGTGGGGGCCAAGCCCGAGGGCGCCCAGGCCCGGCCTGCTCCCAACACCGCCTCCCGGCTGCCCAGTGTGGAGACGGCCCCGCGGCCGGAGGGCTGCAGGCCGGGGCTGGGCTCGTCCCCCAGCCCCCAGGGGGAGGGTGGCAGGGCCGAGGGGCGCTGAGGATGCAGGCTGGGCTCCCCCAGCCCCCCAGAAACATCTGCGACCCGACAGTCTGCCCTGACCCCGAGACCCCCACGCCATCCCACAAAGTGCCTTCTACCTGCGGAGGAGCCGCTCTAATGTCCTGTGTAGGGCCGGGCTTTGCCTTGCGGCCGGTCATTCCCCGTCCTCCCCGTGTAGGTCCAGCCCGCCTCGGGAGCAGGCCCGGGGCCGTGCCTGGCGCAGGGCACGGGGTCAGGCGCCTCCTGGCGCTGGTGGGCGTGGGGGCGCCCCTGCCCAGCCCCCGCCCCCACGCCCAGCCATCCAAACCTCCCTCTTTGCGGCCAGTTTTCTTGGCCGCTGCCCAGCGGCATTGAAAGAGAAAAGCCCATCTTTGGGCCATCGCGATCTACAGTCACTTGAGCCCTTGGATTTCACGTCTGTGATGGAGGGACGGCCTGTGTGTGGCTTCACGTCTCATGTCTTCGTAGACCCACCGGGAAGTTGGGGCGGGGGGGGGAATAAAGGAGATCCGCTTGTCTCTCCGTGTGGGCCGTGCCGTCCTTCGCTCGGGGTCCTGCTGGGTCCTCCCGCCGCCCCTCCGGGCTCGGGCAGGGGCACCCGACCAGCCGGCATTGCTCCCCAAGGCTCCGAGGCCGCGAGTGGACAGGGAGGAAGTCTCAGGGGCTGGCGCTGCCCAGGGGCTGTGCCCCCGGGTGTGGGCCCTCAGGCCATCTCCACACCAAGGTCCCCTGGGGGAGCTGAGAAGCCCGCTCCACGGGCCCCACCCACCTGCAGCACTCGGCTGAGAGGCATTCATCTCACACGTAGCCCTGGCCTGGTCCGGTCCGGGAGATACGCCACGGGACCATCAGCAGGACGATTGGGGGCCTGGAAGGCTTCCTGGAGGAGGGGGCAGCCAAGCTGAGTTGGGGGTGGCTCTCTGCCTGCAGGCCCCCACCAAGAGTTCCCCTGAAATTTTCCCAAATGCCTGTCACCAACCTCAGGGTGGTGGGGGCTCAGACAGGGAGGTCTGGTCACCACAGCTTCCAGCCCAGGGCATCCCCATGCCGTGGTCGGGGGCTGATGGGGAGAGGGCGGGGAGAGGAGCCGGGCAGGTGTGTTGGACGAGGTGGCGACGGCCCGTAGTGGGAGCGGCATGTGTCAGCGGGCACAGAGCATGCTGGGAGCACAGGCCAGGCCAGGGGGACAGCCAGGACCCCCTTCGCAGAGCCCCGTTCTAGAAGGTGCATTACCTACCAGAAATAGGAAACAGCTGGCCTGGCTGCTGCTACCTCCCCAGGAGGGCAGGCTGCTCTGCTCTCCCTCAGGGCCACTTTCTGAGGGGCCACCACCTGCTTCTTGCAGGCGCCCAACAACACCTGCAGGCAGAGCCCTCCCCTCAGCTGGTCCTGGCCGCAGCTGCAGACCGGGCGCAGGGGACGCGTCCAGGGGAGGGTCCAGCATTCACCTCACGCCGGGGAGCTTCACCCACACACGCCCTCTCTCCCTGTGCATCTCCGTCAGCGGCTCTGCCCTTCACTCAGCTGCCCAGGCTGGCCACCGCCACTGCCGGGGAGCCCTCCTGGGTTCCTTTGTGCTTGGAGCCAAGCTATCAAGAAGTCTTATTCTGCTTTCCATTCACAGTGGCACTCTGCTGATTCAACCCTCTGGCAGCGGGCACTCAGGATAAAACTCAGGATTGCACTTAGGATAAAACCCCAAACCTTAACAAAGGCCCCATAAGAACCTATCTGACACCCTCTCTGTCAAGAACTCCACTTCACACCTGCCAGTGTCTGCCAATCCTCAGACCAGGCAAACTTGTTCCTGCCCGAGGGCCTTTGCACATGCTGTTCCTGCTGCCTTAGTAAGCTCTTCCTCTGACCTGGATGGCCAGCGACACCTCCCTCCTTTGGCTCAGATGTCACCTCAGAGAGGCCTCTTCAACCTGTGACATCACCCTATTCATTCTCTTTATAGCACACATCACTGATGAAAGGCATTTGTGACCTGCCTTCCCCCGGGGGTGGGACTTCTCTGCGGCAGGAAGTATGTCTGCCTCACTCGCCCCGGGATGGTCTAGAACAGGCTGGGTACATCGTGGTCGCTTAATAAACACGTTCAAGCTTGAAGCCACATTCTGACGCGCAAACACGAGTCTCGGTCAGAGGAATGTGCCTCCCGGCCGCCGAGAAGGCACCGCTTGTTGCCGCCTCGTCCCGGGAGATGAGTGTCACGGTTGAGGCGAGAGGCCTCGGCTGGGGCAGTGGCCACAGGGTGTCGTCTTCGCCACCAGGCGGTCGGAAACCCGTCCTGTTGACAGTCCACCCTGCCCCCAGCGCCTCCGACACACCGAGCTGAGGCGACGCGACAGGGAAGCGAGCCGTGGCTGGCGATTGCCGGGCCCAGACGGACGGCACGTCTGAGCGACAGCTGCCCGCC